GTTCTAGCCAGCTATCTTGATGGCAATCATAGCGCGGATGGCGTCAGCGGAGCCCAGTAATACATCGACATGGGCGCGGGTGATCATCCAGCCCATTTCTATGCAGGAATATTGTACTCACAGAAGCTTCTGTCCCTAATCTAAGTTTCTGTGGCTTATCAACGACGAGACCTAACCATTGCGGTTCCGAAGCACGGTTCACTTTGCGTTTATCTCATTTTTCTTCGTTCTCGACGCTGACTGGTCCAACTCAGCCTCCTGTCACGTGGCTGCTGTTAGTCAGTTTTATAAGCACTCCCATTGGCCATAGTTACACCAAACCGGTTCCTTTCCAAGCATCACAACCAATCAGCTTGTGGCATCGGTTGGAGTCTCTCAATATCCAACTGCAATTGTGATTGTATTCATTGAGTTCGGAAAGACTCCGAAACACTCTCAGTAGCGGGCCTTGAGTCACAGCAACTTGCCGTATCGGGCGATCGGAGTAGTATGAACGAATGCCCTCTCATTCACCGCGTACTGGACTCTTGAACAGAGTGGGAACGTAATCCTTGGGTGTACTCAAAGGTCGCAGAAGACGGAGCTGGTAGCCACAAGTAATCACTATAAGGGTTAGCAGTCCTCCCTGATATAGTACAGCCTGCTATGTTTGTCCAGGGTCACGGAACCTGCTGATACAACCATTCAGATGCATGAAGGTCGGGGCTATTAACACATAGATGGTAAAAGGCAAGCGATAGAACTAGCGATTGTGCAGTATGGCGACATTGGCGCATGAGAATAATTAAATTTGCAGAATTATCGACTGCGTGGACCTCGTCTCGCCGAAGTTGAACAATTGTATCTTGGGTGGTGTACTAATCATCTATTCTTTGACACTTGAAGCGTACTTCCCGAGGTCCAAACTGTTGGCCAAAAATTCGTCATCAACAGTCCAGTTTTTCCTGAACAACTCGACATCTTCAGGCATTCCTCAAGGGAATGACTTCTCCGCTGACAAAGCTCGACACTTCTGTCTAAGATCATGCCATCGCAAGCCTACCCGTAGTCACAAGCAGAGTAACTAGCCCCGAAGAAGATCAACCGCCCATCACATCCGGGCACTGTTGCACGGTACTGCCTCTAATTAGCCCAAGAGTCTAATTAGGTTGGTTGTTCCCCACACTTAAGGATGATCTTTCTTTACTGAACCTGAAACACCTGTGGGTTTCATGGTAATTCTTGAAGCCTAAAATTTGGGACCTGGGCAATATTCTACTCACCTTCGATGGATCTAACATCTGCTCATGTCCGGTAGAATCGCATTGAATGGGTCAGTGCATGCATGTCCTTTTGCATCAGATATTTTGATGACGTGTAAGGTTTAACACGAAACTTCCAGAACTTGGGATATATTGGTAGCCAATCAATACTTGGTCTTTGCTTCCGATAAAAGGAAGGCACGCAACTACACTCACGTCTGACGCCAGATTAGACAATAAGTATCCGTTAGACGTATGAAGCAGGTCATGAGAAGGGGAGAGTCATCGACACTGATGAGTAGGCTGAGGAATGCCCATTAATTTAGACTCAACGGTCAATAGTTCTGTCCCTATTGTCAAAGAGTGCACATGTCAACTGGGGAGGGGCAGGGTTGGTTTTACAGAGCGACTAAGTCTCATTAGGCAGGCATGAGCGTGAAACACCCGGTTCGGCGATTGGATACAAGAATTATATTATGTTGAAGTAGAAAAGACCCAATGTGATGTGTGTATATCATATTCAAATAGTCTCAGTGTATGGGATGTAAACCGCTCTTGGTCATTTGACAGCTATCGATTATTCAATGGTCCAGGTCATAGTCATCGCCGCAGATGAGATCTATCCCTCCAGTATGGGTAACTGACTGATATGAGAGGCCAGATGCATATTTTTGAGGATCTATTCATTGATTGGAGCTTGTTCCCGAAGCATGATCGGTCGAGGGGTGTTTCATGTTTAACTCTCCTCTGACTGAGTTTGCCTATGCAGTCATAGGTGGTCGTGCCATTACGTACCAGCTGTGATCCTGTGGTCAAAAGCTTGGAGTGATGAATTGAGGTCTAGGGAATTCCTGGTCAATGTATATGCTTTCTTTCCGTGGCATTTATTTGGCCAGATGTCGAGAGTCAGTGGTACTCCCTATGACCATGAAAATCTGATGAGCTAGGTCAAATGTAGATGGTCCAGTGTCAATATTACAGGCAATTTGCATATCTGCACGTGTTTGGGATAGGTTTCAAGTAATCCACGATAATCAATATAATTAAGAGCCAAGGAGAGAAAAATAACAGTAGCATTCTAGATCAGAAGACAAAAGCCAGAACTCCTCGAGGAGGAGATACACTCGTAAACCCAGGGACCCAATTCCACTATAATCATACGATGATATATCATACCACCACATCACATCAATCAAGCCTAGTTATGGGGTGATCGGCTGTTGATTTTCAGGTATTATCAGTATGAGGAACTTTGGCACGTCGAGATCAAACATTGTCACTTACGATCACAACTGGATTCTGGGGTTCTCTTTGCCCTCGTTGATGTGGCGATCATCTTGGTTGTCGTGGTTATCCATGACATGAATGCCGCCCAGGAGCTGGTAATTATTGACAGGCCTGTTGTGACTTGGCCCAGTAGAGAGGGCTGCTCCTAATGCGATGAAAAAGAAGACGTAGGCAACGAAAGGAAATTGCATTGTTTCCTGTCAAGTGAAGATTGCAGATGGAGTTTCGCAGTATGACAGCAAGATAACGGATGCGCCGGGAAGAAGAGACTGGTAACCAAGATAATATTCGCTACTGAGTGGCTATTGGCACTCATTAAATAAGTTTATCGGTTTGGATAGTCCTACAGTAGACAGAACAGGCAGGCTTCTTCCCCCCCCCCAAATGTGATAAGCCACAGTGTGAACTCACTATGGCTTCGTACACTAAATGGCTTTCGTTAAATTGGTTGTCTTTTCTGCATCCCAACCAGTTCTGTATAACGACTAGTGACTCTCTCTTGCAGACTTTAATCCGCTGTTTCTGGCGACAGTTAACTAGTAGTTCTCAAACCTGCGACAAGTGCCGATGCCCTAATGCAGCCAGACCCCGCCAAATAGGTTTGTACCTGAAGAGCTTTGATTGAAAAAAACAACCTATATTGACAGTCAAGAACGTATCAGAACAAAACGGTCAAAAACTTGTCTGCACGAATACTAAGTACGGAGAACGTTTCAGCAAGGGGCATAATATATGTTAGATGGCGCGCCTTGACTTGACAGGTCACAGGGTTTATTCACTAATGACATGTATATTCCCATTTTGAATGAGGTGTGCAGGAGGCTCATAATCCCTCATAAAGTTCACTATTCTATCAGCATGATAAAGTCTGAGATTCTATCATTAGCCTTTAATGCCTATGGCTATTTATAAATTATTTAGCCACACAAATCTGGCCATTGTATAGTGACATTTGTGCACCTTTATTTACCTTTGCTACTAGATATTTAGGTATCTCTTGAATGGCTATTTTATCGGCCTCATAATTACATGAAAGCTGGCGCAGGAGTCCTCTACCTAATGCATATGAGCCAGAGCTCGACAGTGACTGTATTTGCGTGAGAAAGGCGGTTGATTCCGGGTCAAACCTACCATGGTACTGATGAAAACATGCTCTTCAGGGGCCGTGGACAGTATGTGACATGTCTTCCAATCAGTGGGCTCATTTGGTGAACCGGATAAGCCCAGTCGCTAAGCATTTGCTTAGTAGACAGGAGCTCTGAAGAATCTTGATCAATAAAGCATGGCATATATCAATAGTCGTATTGCTAAGCAATCTTTCTGCACACATATTGACCGCAGCTTCGGGAAGCTACCTACTTGACTTTTTTTTGAACGGCCTAGAAAATAGATGCTTTCCCCTGATGAAGAAGCATGTAAGTGCATTGGATTGGCACAACACTTCGTACCCCGGACCTATGCCATCACATTTGAAAAGCCCATAACGTAAACAACGGTTGGGCGGCCCATCATGCTGTCCCATATAAAAGATGTCTTCTTGATACTATTATATCTCTACCAATACTAGATTTGAGAAGCTCTCACTTTACCTATAAAGTATATATATATTAGAATAACTAACTCATAGTTTCCAGACTTTCATAATAATTTCTTATTTGAAATATATCGGACTTTCATCAAATACACATAAAATACAGATGTCATGATATATCACACTACTAAATAAACGTGAGTTGATTTTTGAAGAGCGTTTAATAGTTTCCTATATTATTTATAGAGTGTATATAAAGCTTGAATTTGCTCAGGCTTCTAATTGTTAAGATATAATATATGTTTAAGAAGGATCTTTTGTGTAGGATTACCAGATGGGCGGCCCGACCTTGTGGGCCGTCCAAGCATTGTTTACGTTATCTGATAAGAAGGAGATTACCTACGAGTTAGTGGTGCCTATCAACAATGGACATATGACAAAGCACATATTGATGTGAGACCATGATCTTTTGACAAACTAAGGAGATCAATAATACACGTTAGGTTCGTAAATCACATTAAAACTTGGAAAATGCATTCATATCTCCGCAGCTGCCACACTAAGAGCCAGCTAGGACCAATATTTCCCGTTCATTGTCATATATCATGCAATTATTGGCCGCATACTACGCTGACAAGCAATAACAACGAGTGGAAATTAGCCCTAGGAAAATCCTCAAGTTCAAGATAAGGCAGCTCATCCGAAATGATTGGTCCCTGTTATTTCTGCGTTTTGGTGTTTCTGTAAGCCTCTCCCAACTTTCTGGAAGAATGGGTTTCAGAATGCATAGTCAATCCAAGTTTTGTGAATTGTCCAATCAAGAGTCCAAAAGGCTCACAGAGGATGAAGAGGAAAGCCATTCTGTATCCTACTCGAAAAGGCGATTTTCTTATATATGTATTCTTCATGTTATCATCTTTCTTCTGTGCCTTTCTGTTGCGATGTCAGGATGGATGAGGCACCCAGCTACCCCTACCGACCTTGACTGTGCTACGCAACTTTCGCCGTACTGTTAGTTTTGTATTCATCTATTCCTCTGTATTTTGGGATACTTACCAGCATATATAGCGCCCCTGGTTGGTCTTGTTGAGTACGAGGATATCAGGTTCCAAGGTGACCTGCAGGACGTGAACCCATGGAAAGGAAAACCGAACCCTGCTCTGGATGAGGCATGGGAGAATATTACACATAGTAGGCAAAAGCCTCAGCTAACAACTATGTGTATTAACATCGTATAGTGTGGAATATCCAAGTCTCCGGTGATGACATGCTTCGCATGAAGAAGCCACTGAATCAAGTCAAAGCTCCTCCACATCTCGGCGATGGTTATGTTGGTGGAATTGAAGTTTTTCACCAGGTATGAACGTTTATCAAGATACAGGCCTTTTTTGGGCAAACTTGCTAAATCCTACAGCTTCATTGCCTCAATCTCATTCGTCAGTACACTTATTATGACTACTACATGCAGCCTGAGAATGAGCCACTCTCATTTCAGACCTCTCCAGGGAGACTCCGCGCACACATTGGTAAGCTGTCGATGGGGGCCTTGATTTCTTGATTTCATGTCTAACATGCAGCAGATCATTGCATAGATATATTAAGGCAGGTGATCCAATGTAATGGTGATGCTGGAGTCGTAACAGGAAGTTGGGTAAAGGGCTACAGTAGACCACAGGTTGACTTTAGCACCTGGCACAAGTGTCGTAAGCTTCAGCCTTTTATCGATTATCAGGAAAAGGCTGTGCTGGACTATGAGCCCGTGAAGCCCCTGGATGCTTTCGAGCTTGATGATAGGCCGTGCAAGCATGTCCCCATGGACCAAATATGTCCCTAGCAGTGGTTATCGCTAATTGTAGAATTAAATGATCTTTGTAATTAGAGTAATCTTACTACTCCTGCGATATGTATCTCATGATTATTATCTTAAACTTATATGTAGTGAATAACTACACACAACACTGACACTTAGTTCCATAATCTTTGATAAGACTTGGCTCTTCAGACATTTGCACCAGGTCTTGCTGTCATGCAGTGATGACCTTGTATGTGCTGAGACAATATGAAGTATCATACGGAGGTAGCAGATTAGGGTCGCCTACCCCGCGCAAATTGGCCCATGTGATGCCTTTATGCCTTAGGCACGAAGAGTGGGAGAGAAATCCGCCGATCAACCCTGCAATTGCTCCACATCTGCCCGTCCCCAACTTGTTCTTCTTTTTGAGTCTCCGGGATAGGACTTCCAGAAGATTTGGAAATGGCCTTGTACTTCAGGGCCGCGTACTCAATCCAGACGACGGATAAGCCATCTGCCGTCCACCATAGGGAGTAATACCGAGCCGTCTCCCTGCACCCTTGAACCTTGATCCATCACAAGTACTATAGCTGACGGACAACGGTCTGACAGGCATTCCTCCTTAGGCTTTATTCTCTTACAAGTGGTCGGGCTGTCTAGTCTGGGGCTTATGACTGAGCTCACCAGGTTTCTGGAATTCCTCCAGCGATTGATCTTGTCCGCACTACTCTTTGGCATCTGCAGCAAGAATTCTCGATACAAAGGCACTTCAAGGATAGGGCCAAGGCTAACGCAACCAGCCAGAATGTACCTCGGGAACTGATCAAGTGCCCTGGATGCTTGGAACGCTGATCAGGAACATGGTTGCGATTATTCGCTCCGATTGGCGGCTGAATTAACCATGACCCATGGCTATTCCGAAGGACGACTCCAAACCCATGGCTCTCCACGTTTGTGATTGCGCTTACATGGGCAGGGAAATTTACCTCCTCAAGACCCTGACTTCGTCAGTATGCATCACACAGAGAATGTTTCATGGACTTGTCTGGGGTAAATTAGTTATCAACTTCATAAAGTGACTGGTGGTGCCATGACGGACGTGTCGAATAAGGCTGGGTCCGTTCCCTCATTCTAACGGTTCGGCCTCATTTTTGGGAGCATCGATCAATTTCTGTCTTGGACTAAACCCCCGAGCCCGCCAGTGTTTCAAGATCCCTGCGGTTTAGAGTTAGGCATCTGACACAGCAACCGACTCCGAAGCCAAACTTGCTCATGAAGCGGATTGATGTTGTTTTTGTCCCGCAATAGTAAGATGCCGCTTGCATCATCTGGGAACGCGTGCTCAATCCCATTGCAAAACCTGGTTCATCGATGATCTCATCCGATCAACCCTCACGGACGGCATGTTGAACCCCTATGCCTATCAGCATATCACCTCTTCGCGAGCATCACCCATCGGCAGGCATATAAAGAATCCTCGTGGTCCCCGTCCCCTACCGACCGTACATCAGGCTTCATCGCTTCCTTTCCTTCAAACCTGACAGTAGTAGCTCTCAGGCTCTTCAATTCTTTCTTTCAACAACACTTAGGACAACAACTACTGCAATGAAATTCCAACACGTCGCACCGGTGTGCCTTGCGGGCTGTGCCCTGGCCTTGCCGACTCCGGTCGAGAAGAGACAGGATCTCTCCGACCTCCTTCCGTTCCCTATCCCAAGCAATCTAATTCCGACTGGCCTTTCCCTTCCGTCTGGCCTCTCCCTCCCATCCGGTCTCTCCCTCCCCTCAGGCCTCCCCAGCTTCTCTCTGCCTACGGATCTGTCCGACCTAGGCTTGAAGCGCCGGGACGTGCCTTTCTCTCTGCCCTCTGGTGCTGCACTCCCTACAGACTCCCAGGGACTGTCTCAGCTCCTGCCATCTGGACTTCCCGACCTGTCCGGCCTTGGCATCACCCTTCCCACCGGGCTTCCATTCGAGAAGCGCCAATTCGGCGGTGGTGGGGCCCCTGGAGGCGGATCCTCTGGTGGTCCATCCTTCGGCGGTGGCTCTGGAGGCCCGTCCCTCGGCGGTGGTGGAGACTCTGGCTCATCCTCCAGTCCCTTCGGAGGCCTATCCGGCTTGGGTGGCGGTGACTCCTCTTCTTCCGACTCCTCCAGCCCCTTCGGAGGCCTACCCGGCCTTGGTGGTAGTGGCTCTTCCTCCTCCCAGTCCGGCGGCTCTCCCTCACCCTCCAGCGGCTCATCCTCCTCCGGCGGAATCCCCGACTTCCTCAACGGCCTCGGAGGCTCTTCCAGCGATCCTTCGAGCTCTGCTCAGCCCTCCAGCGGCAGCACTCTTGGCGGTCTCTCCGGTATCTTTGGCGGGCTCGGAGGCGACTCTTCCCAGTCTTCCAGCAGCCCCTCTAGCTCCTCTCAACCCTCCAGCAGCGACCCGTTCGGCGGTCTCTCTGGTATCCTAGGCGGGCTCGGTGGCGATTCCTCCCAGTCTTCCAGCGGCCCATCCAGCTCCTCCCAGCCCTCCAGCAGCGACCCCTTCGGTGGACTCTCCGGCATCTTGGGCTCTCTCGGGGGCGGCTCCAGCTCCTCCTCGTCCACGGGTGACTCTTCCAGTCCCTCTCAACCCTCCGGCGGCGCTGCCCCTCCCAGCCAACCCTCCGGCGGCTTCCCTAACCCCTTCGGTGGCTCCTCTTCCTCTGACTCCTCCGCCCCGGCTCAACCCAGCGGCGACGCCCCCAAGCCCGAAGCAAGCGGCAGTGCCCCCCAGCCCAGCGCTGCCTTCCCCAGCATCAGCATCCCCGAGCCTACCGGCGGCAGCAGCAGCAGCAGCAGCTCTTCCGACTCCAGCGACAGCGACTCTTCTTCCTCTGCGTCGGACTCCGAGCCCTCTCTCAGCCTTCCGACTCCGTTGGCGTTCTCGCCCGGTGGTCTGAATCTCCCGGCTCCTTCGTCTAGCTCTGCTATTCCTACTAGCTCGGCTGTTCCTACTAATGCGGCTGTGCCGACTGCGCCGTCTTCGTTTAAGCAGTTCTTTGCTTAGAAGATGGTCGACACGGGTTATACACAGATGGGTGGGATGGGTGGGTAGAAGTAGGTAGATGGGATGAACGGGCGGAGGAATTGAGGTGGTGAGGATGGATTAGGTGGATGTGATGATGTCATGCTTGCTGGTCAGGATATGAGGATATGAAATTTACATAGTAGTTCTTTTGTTGAGATGGTTGTGGTGTGTACCTAGATTGACAATGAGATGGATGGTCAGTTGGTCGTTTAAGTGTGGGTTCATACGGTAGTAGTAGTCTGTTCTGTGGATTGATCTTTGGTATTTCAAAACGTCTTTGTTTTAGGGAGGTAGCCAAGGTGGAGGAGTGATTAGAACCGTCCTGGCTGTCAAACAGGTGATATATATGCCATGCGCAGTCCTCGGGTCACATTGAACGTATCCAATTAGTTGCCTTAATATGTAAAACCAAACAGCATTCTATATCATGCAAACCTATATAGAATACCTAGCTTAAAAACCTATAGACCCTTCATCAGTCATCTACCGATACTCTACAAACCCACAATATTCCGCTGATTCTATGTATGCGAGTAACCATCACGAACTAGTAAACTCTAATATACACATCGCAAGTTGGACTTCTCAACACCTCCTCAAGGAAGCCAAACATCCACCTCTAACTCCACGCGGTGTTCCGCAAACGGCAAACTCTCGATCCCCACCGTTGTGAAAAGCGCCTGGTGATTCGGGCACGCTTTCTTGATGTGTCGCACCATGATTGCCCGGGCTTCGTCCCGCACCGCAGACAATCCAACAACGTAGGCGTGCAACTTGACGACATACCCCGCCTGTTGGAGGGTCCGCTCGATGAGAGATTTGATATTCTCGAATGCCTGGGCAACTTGATCTTCCAGGTCAGGAGAGGTCTGAGACGTGTATGGATTCATTCCCGCTAGGAGTTTGGACGGTCAGTTGAGTACTGGCCTACGGGATAGGTACGCGAACTTACTCTGGCCGGTGACAATCAGGCGGTCACCAATGATGCAGGCATCGCTGAAGCCGTATAGCTGGCGGCATTGCTCCCCGAAGCTGGGCAGGGAGTAGTATGTGAAAGAGGACATGGCGAGAGACCAAGTGATACTATATCTCATGAAATTGATTGGAGATAGATACTCTCAACTATAGGTATTTCGTCACTCTTATACTTAGATTAGAGCACTATACAGCAGCCAAGTCCGAGATAGAATAGGTTAACTAATCAACTATGGCTCCGCTTCGTCAGCGGAGGGACCAGGATACTTTGGATCTGAAACCCGTCGAATGATGACAATATGATCTTCAACGACCAAGCACCGGAGACTTGGCCCTTAGATATTATGAAAATAATGTACGTATCATCATACTTTCGCCCAAATCTTCCCCTTGGACAGGTAAAGGCGAGCCAGAGCATAGAACAACGTCCCGCCCGCAAGCATCACACCGGTGAAGACCTGCAACTTCCAGTACTCGCCATCCACCGCCGCAATCAAGGAACCACCGATAGGGCTGCCTACAAGGGCCGAGATTGACATGAAAGCATACAGCGCTCCTGACCGTGTGCCAATCTCATGGATATTCGAGATCTGGGCGACCAAGGCTGGGCTGAGTGCCGTGTATGTGCCCGAGCTGAATCCAAACGCTGCAGCGAACACGATGGCCGTTGCGTTGGAGTGGCCGGGGAGCCATAGCCCGAGGACGAAGATTGTCGACAGGCCCGCTGCGCAAATTGAGATGTTGAAGTTGCCGAGTTTGTCTGCGGCGTAACCTGGTAGGATTCGGCCGATGCCACTACAGCGTTGGTCAGCAAGCCCGTTTTTTTTTTTTTTTTTCTTTTTTGATGACCGAGCTCTCCCAAGCTCGAGTTTACTTTCGTTTACTTTCAGAGTTGACATCTTACCTTGCAGCATTGAATATCGAGACTAGATACCCGGCGAGACCCGTACTCATCCCCACATGCTCGCCGTATGTGACCATGTAGGTAATAGGAATAAACATCCCCATCGAATACAAGAAGCTCGCCAGCGTCACCAGGACGAAGGGCACATCAGTAAACCCCTTGAAGTAACTAGTCAAAGTCAAAGCCGTGGGTTTCGGCCGCAAACGCGAGCGAACAGTCAAATTCGTCACAGCCAGCAATCCCAGCATCAAGAAGGCGCATATACGCATCGCCCAACCAAATCCAAGTCGCGTGATGATGTGATCAACCAGGATCGGCATGATAACGCCACCTAGGCTTGAGCCGCTCGCGGTAATGCCCATTGCCAGAGCGCGCTTTTGGCGAAACCAGGTCGCCACGCAATTGAACGAGGAGTAGAGGACCATGCTTGCGCCAAGGGGGCTGCAGATCGATTGGGAAAGAATGAACTGGTAGTATTGTGAGGACAGCGAAGCCATCATTAATCCGAATACGTGTAGCAGGGATCCTGTGAGGAGAAGCCATCGGGGTCCGTATGCGTCAAATAGCCGGCCAACAAAGGGGCCCTAGGGGGTGATTAGATGAGTCAGTTTGGAAATTTCTCAGTTATATTCTTCTTTTATTGAGAACTCATGGCAACAATAGAACATTAAACGCGGATGAGAATATGTAACTTACCGTGATGAACATCATGAACATAGATATGGCAGGAATCCACGACACTGTGCTTGCCGACAAGGTTCGCAGCTGGTGGGTTTGATAATATGCCTGGAAAATGCCCACGCCTGCGCAATACATAATGAATAAGCCAAAGTATTTCAAGAGTAGATATGTGGCTCACAATTTGTCCAGCCGAAGCTCGTAAATAGTCCAAAGAACGCTCCGACTACTACGAGCCATGCACGGAGACCGCCGTCTGGGAAGTCATTCGACTTTGTCTGTGAAGGGCCTGTGTCCTGGCATTCCTTCTCGTCGGTACCGTCTTGTGTATCCATCCTGGCAGCGATGAAATATTTCAATGGGTGGATTGAATGATTTGGCAAGAAAATTGATATGAAAATGTGGAATCAAAGACGAGGAACCTTGATCCGGATTCGTTTTGTGCTTGCACTTGCGTCAGGTATTTATATTACTGCAATGAAGCTGTGAGTTATTGATCTACTTCTATATCAATCAGAGACTAGATCTAATCAAGTATAGTCTGTGGGGAAGGAGATGGATTCTAAGCAAGCTGATTGGATCGGAGGTCCGCGGTGGTCCGAGTGACCAGGGACATCAGCATATTGAGTCATCGATAACATCAATAACTATATCCACGTCCTCCCCACAAGCAACTTTCCGTGCACCAAGAGATTGCTTATGTACCTAGAGATGCACTCGCTTAAGCGGCCAATCCCTGACCAGGCCGTAGGGCCGACAAAACGAAGTGCTTGGCAACAGCCAGCGTCATGTGAGTTCTGCCGGCTCAAGAAGATCCGATGTGACAAGCAACGCCCTTGCTCCAGTTGCGTAGCTAGAGATACAACCTGTGAATATGTTACATGTAAGCTTAGTTACAATGGTGCTTATTCTTGGAAGTTGACCCATGCAGTGGCAGGAGGGACCCTGCATCCAGCGGTCCAAACAGGTGTCAATGATAGTGCCCCGGCTACGTACATAGGCACTCCGTCGTTAGAAAGGTCTGCCCTCAATAACTACGTGATTTGACCAATTGCGCTAATTCTCACTCAGAGATATCCAGGAGGTTAAGGAGCGCTTGAAGAGGGTAGAACAACTGTTGCTGGAACGTCAGAGCCCACTTCAAGGCTCAAATCCGGGGGACGTAGATTCTCTGGTTATTACTCCCCAGCCTGAATCCAAGGCAGTATTGCGTAATGTTAACCACGAGGAGTGGGACAATCTGGAATCCATTGCAGCGTCCCCGCAGACTGAAGGATTGAAGGATTCGAAAACTGAAAACAAAAGTCTACAGAGCCAAGCACCCTCGGCAATAACGCAGGAGTGCGGTATAGATCGGCAGCTCCCTCCGGTTGACACAGCTAAGGCACTGCTTGAACACTACGTTCAAGGAGTAGACTATTTGGGTCGTGTAGTCCATGCCCCATCGGCACGCAGTCTCCTTGAAAGTGTATATTCTCAGCTGTCACAGTCAACCAGTCCTCCCGCCGAAAGTATCATATTCCTTCTAGCCATATTTGCTTCCGCGTCATTCTATCTAGAATGTGGGCAGCTCCATCTATCATCTGACGGGCTACACCTGCACGCAGGACAATCCCACCGTTGGAAAGAGACCACTCTTCAGCACATGTTGCAAATAGATCGGCTTTTCTCGTGCTCAATGATGTCATTGCAATCAGCTTTGATTATCTTAGTTCTTCTTTGGGATTCAGAAGGGCAATCAAAAAGATTTCATACTCTGAAAAGCCTCGCGTATGCGAAGGCAATTCAAATGGGGATGCATAATGTAGATGCAGGATCGTCAGACGTTGGGCAAGATCTCGAACAGGAGATGAAGCGCCGTTTATGGTGGCACCTCACTTGTACAGATTGGTTAGTTATATGCATGCTTTCAAAAGCAGACTGAATCTTTATGACTAACCATACTACTCACATCTCAGGTTACTTGGAAGCGCACCCGGCCCACAGCAGGGTATTTACATGATCAGCCCTCACCATACGACGGTCAAGTATCCTGCCAATATCGAAGACGAAGATCTGACCGAAGAGGGTATTCATCGATACCCGAAACCCGACCGTCACCCAACATCGATGTCATTCTTCCTCTGTCGTCTCAAATTCGCCCAACTCTGTCGAGAATCCATGGACGCAATTCAACATGCAAAGACTACACAACCATCACAACTCATATACCCGCTCATACTGGAAATAAGCGACAAGTACATGTCTTTCCTCAGGGAGCTACCGTGGTTCTTCCGTCTTGAAGACGAAGAAGACGAGGCGAAACGTACAGACTTGACCAAGAAGCAGCCCTACATCTCGCATCAGCGCGCTGTGCTTCTCTATGGCATTTACTCACGCCTGGGTCGCCTCCACCGCCCGTTCGTCACCAAAGGTATCGCCGACCCTGGCTTTGCAGGTTCATACAATATCGGTATCGAGTGCGCGGAGAGACTCCTACGGATCCGTCGCATGACGGCGGTCCACGGGAGTCAGCTGCTTGACATATTCGGCCGCTCGCAGAGTGTTGACCAGCATACTTTCAATGCTATGCTGCTGCTCACAATAGATGTGATGGCGCATCCGAACTCGCCTGATTCAGAGCGCCGCAGAGCGGACGTTATTGAGAAATGCCACATCTTGCAAGATAAGCATGTAAGGTTGGGTCAGCCTGCGAATGGAATTAGTCGAGCCGTGCAAATGCTGTTGGATATCGTGCGCAATTCGAACAGGCCCCACATCAAGGACAAAGATCGTATTGACAGCACCGGTCAGGTTGGCTCAAATACTGCGCAAAGTATAGATAGTCTGGTGGTTCCGGATCAATGCACGATGGCATCGGAAGCATCGTATCAAACGGCGTGGATCGACGAGTTCCTTTCAATATCTGATGATCAAGATATGGACACCCTTTTCGATGAGCTCTGGGGATCTTACTCAGAGACGAGCATTCCATCTCGGGAGGGCTTCTTGAACCGGGAGGGGCTATCCTAGTGGCTTTGATGGGGCACGTCGTCGTATAAGGGTATTAGTGTTATGTTAAGAGAGGACAAACTCGAGGCTACTTGAGATACAGGCATAATTGACTTGTACTCGCTTATCAGACCAAAGCGGCCAATATCTTCTTCACAGCGCCAAGAGCCCTGACCTACAGACCTGGTCCGTGCAGGTGTCTTGACCCAAACCCACCAATAGCACCTCCAATCCTCCGCACATGAACCCTGCATAGGCCATATCATGGTCACAAGAAGCGAGATTCATGCAGGCCTGTGCATGAATACTATGTAGGACAGAATGACCCTAGTGACCAATCATATCACAGATACAGTAGCACAAGCATGCATGTCAACCTCAGCACAGGCCAGGAACTAATGCACGGTGTTGCAGGACGATGGCTCTAAAATGTAGATCATCACGTGGTGTGTCCAATCATATCCATGGTTACCATCTACAATGACCCACAGGATATCTGGGGGTGATTGGACTTGTCCGGAGCCTGGATTTCTGATATTTTCGGGGGGAAGACTACTGCTTCGTATTATGGAGGAAGAAACATGTTTATCAGTTCTAGCTAGACTACTGCATTATTCTCTAGCTTCGAAGGAGAAAAAAGCACAGAAGGCAACCTACTATCCCTCTCTCAGAACAAGAACTTCTAATCCACACTTAGCACGGTCGCATATTCTTGATTCTGGTCTTTTGTTGATAAAAATGGTATAGCTGCTCACTAGAAGATAATATATTACTTATGTATATGTTGCATCAAGGCATATTGACGATGACCAGCTCGACACCATGTCTTGAACACCCGCAGCACCGAATTCCATCTCCATCGATATCACCGTTCAGCTCTTCTAGAGTAGAGACCCAGTAACTTTATAGGCAAACGGATAGGGTTTGCATTTGGCTGATATCCTGACAGTGTGAGGTGTAAAGAGGTCCTTGACGAAGCAGCGACAGCAAGGATGCATTGAAAAGAGCTCGTGGGATCTTGTTCTGTACATTATAAAACCAAGCTGAGTATATCTCCATTCAGTGGTTATGAGTCCAGGTCCCGTTCCACAGATATGGGACGAGAACGATACCTGCCGGAGACTATTTGACACATGGAGCGTTGCTGATACACAAAGCTGAGCTGGCGATTGCAGTATGCCTTGTAGACCACGCACGGTAAAGCAGCAATACCCTCTAGCTGTTCTTCGCTAGTCCATATTGAAGACCCCCAGAACTGGCACAGTGCCATAGACCTCGTCATTCACTCTCTCTCCTCATTCCGAGCCTTGTGTATGATTCCTAATCTCATTAGAAAGCTGTACCGCGAAAACGGATTTTCTTCTTAAGGACTTACCCATGTATGCTATGAGTTGTGCTAGTCCAGAAGTATTCTTTTGCCTCGACTACAAGATTGCATGACTCATTTGCGGCGGTTTATATCGGATGCTATAGTCGGTAAGCCTGGTCATATTGCGCTTCTTTACGAAAAGAAATTATCGATTCTAGCTTGCGGTCACAGTGGAGAAACAGATGCTGGGCGTTCTGCATGTGAATTCGTTGTCCAAGAGTGGGAAGTGAGTATGTATTACTATAGCATCCAGTCGGCATCTCATAGCCGCCCAATAAATTGCCCTTAATTGCTAGATACTGAGACGAGCACTTGCCCAAAAACAAGCAAGACACAATACCACTGCAGAGGTGTAAACATATGCAGCGTATTCAGAGTGTATTCAAGTAAACACGTCAGTCGCATAACGCATGCTCGCCTTCAAGTGATCAAAGAACTTTTCAACCTCCTCATCATTCACCTCAGGTGGGACATCTTCCTGCTTCGTTTCCAACGCAATCCGACGACGCTCCTTCTTCACATCAACGTAGATATTGTTAAACGCTTGGCGCACAGCCTTGCCTAGTTCCGCACTTCCACAAACATAGATCCTAGCCCCCTGCTCAAATAGCGAGACAACTTCGTCTCGGTCACTTGTAATCCGGTCCTGGATGTGCTGGGCTACGGAGCCGTCGGCGGGACGGCTGTATGCCCATCTGACGTCGACGATACCCTTGCGAGACCATTCAGCGAGCTCTTCTGCGTGGATGTCGTCCTTGCCTTTGGTGCGGCAGCCGACGTAGAGAATAGCCGGGGCGGGCTTTTCGGTAATAGAGTCGCTTCGGCTGAGGATCTTTTCAGCCCGGTCCATGACAAAGCCGCGGAAAGGCCCTAAGCCACTTCCTGCGCAGGCCATGATCATTGGCGTGTTCAGGTCGGTTGGGGGCTTGAAGCCTGAGTGGGAGGGACGGACAGCAATGTGAACGCGTTCGTCGGGTTGGAGAATGGAAAGGTAGGTAGAGGCTACGCCCATGTACGGCTCGTCTGTGCCGGAGAGAGAGGGTGCGTTGAGCACGGACACCGTAATTGAGCATTCTGTCGGGTCCGCAAGGGGTGAGGATGAGATAGAGTACTGGCGTACTCGCATGGGCGGGAGCATGGCTAGGAAGTCGCCGAGCGGTAGGCCGATGGAAGGATAACGATCCAAGATGTCCAGCAAGCTGAGGCGTTTGGTGACAACCTCCTCATTGAAGCGGCTAGGACTGTTGGCCATGTATTGCAGCTCGGCCTGGGATTCTTCGTCGGCCACGGCTGCATCTGCCAGAGCAATCAGGTCTCGTTTGGACGCGGGTTGGGACAGTTCAACATAGGAGGAGAGGAGAGCGAAGGCGGAGATAGGGGTGTCAATGGGAATGGCTGACGGTCCGCTTTGGGTCTGGGATGGCTTGCGAACAGTCAAAAAAGCATCCCAAGGCAGTTTGAACCGACGCATTGCTCGACGGACGATGCTCGTTGGGTTCACGGGAAGCACGGCAAGGTAATCACCGCACTGGTAGGTCATGTCGCTTGGAAGCTTGATTCTCACCAGTCGTTTCGCTGAAACGTCGGGTGCTGTTAGGAGTTGGTTCTCAATCACATATCCTTCCTGCAGCTGAAGACCCAAGGTTGTCACTCGCTTTTCTGAGCTGAATTCGACTTGTAGGCCTGAGCTGGCTTTCTTGGCAGCCTGACCCTGAGCTTTGGAGCCAAATTTCGCACTTATGGCAGGCCATAATGCCGACTCGCTCCAGTTATCGAAATCAGTAAACATGTCGGCGATGGCGGTATCAACTAATCCAATATCACACAAGCGATTCCCACCATGCTCGCCCACCAGCTCATTGATGGCTTTTGGAATCCGGTAAAAGGTAGCAGTCCAATCATCTTCATACGGTGATCAGCGAGTTACATAGAATAGAAAACACATGAGTGATAAGGTATACTCACGATGTCCACAACCGAATACGGCATAATTTATGCCCTCGAGTTCATTATCCTTCGCTCCGCTTAGCCACTCGAAAAAGTGGGCCGCATTGTCAGCGGGTTGGCCTTCATAAGATGCAGCAATGAAAACCACAGGATCTCCTTTCGGAACATTCTCAGTGGCGGAATCTAGCGAATTGACCTTGGCACTAAATCCCCATGCGGCTGCATCATCTGCCAATCTCCGAGCCAAAGCCTCGCAGGTTCCGGTGTTGCTACCGAAAAAAATGTGCATCGGCTTCATGTCTCCCTCAGGAAGGGCTGCGTCTTTCTTACGTTCCCTGCTAGCTACCTTGGAAGATTCAGGAGGCACAGATCCACTGTTCAAAGCTGACTCCAACGTTATCGGGTCCAGCCCATGCCTGAGAGTAGCTCTCATCTTGAAATCCTGCGGCTTGATAGTGAGTGTCTGTTTGATCCGCAGGTCATAGCTTGGATCATCCAGCTGAAAGTTGAAATTTTGCAACAGCAAGGCAATGGCCAGTAAGCCTTCTTGCCAGGCAAATGGCCGCCCAATACAGCCTCGCATACCATTTCCAAAAGGCTTCCAGGCGTTCCGAGGGAGATTGTTGAAATTCTCATCCAGCATCCTCTCCGGCTTGAAGTCCTCGGCGTCCGCACCGTAGACCTTGGGGTCGCGGTGTAATTTCGGGAGAAGCACCGTGATTGGCTCGTCCTTGCCAAGAACATATTTTCCATTGCCCAAGGTCACAGGGTCTTCTTTGTTCTTAGTCGGATGCGCATGGACTCTTATGGCACTCGCCGGGGGATTAAGGCGTAGCGCTTCTCGCATGACTGCATTGATATACGGCAACTTGGGGAGATCATCCACGGCAATCTTCCGTCGGCCAATCACCCTGTCCACTTCTTCCTGTGCCTTTTTATACGCAGATGCATTTTTGAGTAGATAATAGAAAACAAAGGACAGCATTCCAGATGTAGTTTCGTGGCCTGAGGGAGAAAAAGGTCAGAACATGATAAATCATAACGACCAAACTCAGACAAAGTACCTACCTGCAATCAAAAAGGTAATCATGTTGTCAATGATTGACTCATCACTGAGGCCCTTCCCTGACTGAGGGTCTCGGCCAAGGATGAGAGCGTTGAGCAGGTCCTTCTTGTCTGATGGATGCTTCCTCCTATCTTCGGTCAACTCCTTCGCCAAATTTCTCATATAAGAAATATCGTTCCAGAAAGAATTGTTATCGCTCGTGGGCAGTTGGTTCAACAAAGATGGGCGCTGTGCCCTATAGCTAGCTACCTGCAACCCACCAACCATCGCTTCTACGAAGGGGTGCATGCTATCGTGGTAGAAAGAGTTGAAGCGGGTTCCCATGGCGCAGAGAGCGATGGAGTCGAGAGTCAGACGGGTGAAATCTTCCGTGACCACAATGGGAGTCTCCGGTCCCTGTCGAGCCCATTTCATGACGAGCTGGTTGGCAATGTCTTGCATCTCTGTGGCAGATTGACAACTCATTAGTCCGACGCAATAGGGGTACAATTGGCGATGGGCTGCTTACCATCGAACATGGCCCTAATAGATAGGGGCCCAAAAGCAGGAATAAGGACACGGTGCGCAAGCGCCCAATTCTCTTCGCCGGGGTACCGGGCTGTGAATAAACCATCGTGAAGAAGATGACGAAGCTGGCCC